ATTGTACAACTATTTTATCTGTCTCAATATTTCACAACCAACACTTTGTCAAACAAGAGAAGCAGAAATACACATTCATTGGTTAAATTAGCCTTATGTGCAGCATTCCAGCCAAGTACTTCAAGTTTAGGAAGTCAAGATGAGTAAATCAAAGCAAGTTACTTGTATTCATCTATCATCTACTCTTCACGTACTATTACATGTTAACTGCTCATGCTTTAGTGTACTTTAAGCTGCTTAAGATAATCCTGAATATCTTGATGATTATTTTTTTTTTTTTTCCAATTAGTAAGAGTTCTATGCTTGGACTCTCTCAGCTGATAGTCACCAAGTAACTGGTATAAACTAAGTTAAAAAAAGGAATGCTATGTAACCTTAGACTGCCATCAAAATCGCTTTCTCCAAGTAGTATAAAAGCTAAAATTTAACAATATTAAATGAATCTTAGATTTATGACTAGAGTGCAGCTTTATCAGACTTTTTTCATGTATTCATGTTTATTACTTTCATTAATGATATATATACATACATATCAAGTTTCTCAAGCCTATGATTCAGTGGTGAGTCATCTAGGACAGGGCCATCACAAACTCAAGATAACTCTCCTTCAACAAACTTAATGTAAGTAAATTTACAAATACACATTAGATCTTCTTATTCATAGGTATATTCAGTGCTTACTCAAGAATGAATACCAAAACAATTCTATTGATGCCAATAAGGAAGTTTAGGTTTCTTCAGCTGAACTCATTCATTTGCATCTGCTTTCATAAATATGCTAGCAAACATATTCAGTGTTCTGAAGTAACTATGTAGCTGGTCTTAGTTGGTATTTTTCCATTAATCAAAAACTTATTTTAAAATATTTTCAAGTTACCTATTTTTGTTAAGGATGGATGAAAAAAAAATCCTTCAATGAACTAAAAGAATGATGCATATAGATTTCAGCAGTAGTGAAAAAGGATAAAAAAAAAAAAGCAATTGATCTAGCGTGCGTTATCTAAAACACATCTGAAACTTTAAAGAGTAACTCCATCAGTGAGAGCAATGCTGGCAGAACTAGCATAAAGGGAGCACTACAGGCATCTCACTAGGCATGAGCAGGTTTGGGTCTGTGCAGCGACACAAGCTAGACAGCACGTACAGATGGGTGAAAAATCCACACTTCTGCTTTTTGCCCCCCACAGTGCTCAACGGGAGAAGGCACAGTGGTAGGAGACCCCAGAACACATCTAACTTGAGCGAGGTATTTGTAAAACCTAAGCATGTTTTTATCTTTGCCCCAGCTGGCACAAACACTAACTTAACCTACGTTGTTTGCTCAATGTCTATTTATACATAGAGCAGTGGTATGTGTTTCTGCACAGTTTCATTTACCATGGCATGAACATTATTAAAGGCTCCTAAAAAGAACATTGCCTACTTGCTACATCAGCCACTCTTCCCTCCTCAAAAGCCCCAGTGGCAGCCTAGTGCTGAGGACTCTCTGCACAGGAATCAATCCATTAAAAGAGGGAAAGAAGATTCAGAAAGAACAATTCCTGTGTGTTCTTTGGAAAGACAGACACATCTGAGCAAAGAATTGGAATGCACGTATTTTCTTTCCATCTGTCTTCTTCACCTATTCACTTGTTCCTTCCTATTCCAATCCACCCTATCACTTGTCTTTGCTTTTCTTCTCTTCTCCCCACTCCCCTAACTGCCTGTTACCTGGAATCCTGCCCATACTCCATACATCCTACCCAAACCATCACTGGTAAGCCCATTTCAGCAATGTTAGTAATCATGAAAAATACCACTATGACAGTTGCTTTCCTCTTCCCAAATTCTGCACATTTTCATGTACGTGCAGCAGCCTCCAAGAAGGAGCAGGTACTTACCTTGCATTTTTGTACCTCGCTCCTCTAAATCAAAGTACATTTTGGCTAACTCACTAGTGCTGTGCACTCCAGCACATACTCTGAACAAATCTGCTGCTCAGCAGGTCTGAGTATGATTCCCACAGACAGTGTGCACAAACTCTGTCGCCTCCAAGATGAAAGAGCTGCACTTTCCCATATACAAAAGGATTATATTTACACAAATTTGCTGCTGCTAGCACATCAAGTTGCTCTTCATTACTATTGCTCTTTTTTGCCCCCTAATCAGATGGGTCTAAATGCATATTACAAACACAATGACAGATCATACAAATACAGGGAATAAGAATTTTATTTTTAGAACTGAAATTAAATTATTTTAAAATGTAAATTTGAGTGTATGGGGGTTTCATTTAACTTAATTCGAACCATTAACCCATTCTGCAGCCAGTGACAGATACTTTACATAGAAAACCCTGGTTATGTTGCATCAAAGCTTACAAACTTCATAAACTCTACAAAGAAAGACTGTTCCAAAATAGCTACTGAAATTCCCTGTGGAAGCTCCCCCCTCACCCTTCCTACCACCAACAGTGAACTTTAATGAGCCATTAAACTAATACATAATTGATTTTTCTAGGGTTTAAATAGCTAATAAGTATCATCTGAGAGTCTTACAAGTTAGCAGTTAGTAAAAAAAAAATTACAAGGTAAAGATTAACATGCTAACCTCACTAAGACTTGCAGGCACAGGCTACAGATTAAATAAAGGTATTTTTCCAGCTTCACATTTTCTGCCATATTAAAATATCACTGAATCTACTCCAGTTTGTTTGTATTCTGATATACTATCATACTGGCTGGTATGGAGATATTTCAGAGGTTATGTCCCAGCTTTTCCTTTTCAGACCTCTGAGTTCATTTCATAGTAAGAAACTGATATTCCCAGGACATCTAGAACACAGTTTTGAAACCTGGTAGCTAGAACTATAATGATAGAATAAAACCAACCGTTTCCTTTAAAAGACAAACTGGATACCACTGATGGCTAAGATAAGTTGCATCAACTCAGGATTACTCTGCATAGCTTTATAGAAGTGTACTTACTTCCTCATTCCTGGTATCTAGGATTAAAAGGAGTAAAAATAAATCTAAGCATGTACATTTTCTTTATTTGCAAATGTTTCATGCTCCATATTGATTCTTGAAGAGGTGAACTTGTGCTTTGTTTTGGCAGATTATTTTTTTAGATAATTGAGTCTGAGACTACTCAAGCCTCACTCTCCAAGCTGAATTTTTTAGGGCTGTAGCAAAGTGTCAAATACTTATCCATGTCCTTATTTGCATTCTAGGGCTACTGTAACATTCTCCAACTTCTAAAGGTAACAAAAAGCTGAAAACAGCATTGTTCTACCAAGGAGAGAGAGAGAAAGAGAGAACTGCAAGAGGAATGTTTCTGTCCAAATGTCCACCTCAGCACTGCATTTCCTACAATCATAATTCCTATGGCATGTCCATGTGCAGCCAGAGAGAACAACAATTCCATCAGTTGGGAAATCTTAATCAAATAGTTGTTTTATGTAGAATAATGCCCCATTGCTTTCTATTCAGAAAACTAGTAAAATATTAGTGCTGTTCAGAGTTTTGTGCTATTAAACTGACAAAATCATTATGTGAAAAAGTCAAAAGTTAGTAAAGCTTTTTTGGAATGGAGGAGTGGAAGAGTGCCTTGTTTTGGTAACTGCCCCTACTAGCAGTAGTTAAGTACAAAGTATTGTGCAACAATCCCAAACACAGAACACAATTTAGCATGATGTAGTTACAGGAGATCGTAACGATAACAGACATAATAGCCGTTATTTAGAAAGAAGAAACTGAGAAATAAAATTTATTACAATTAATTACTTGATCTCAGACTAAACAGCAAAAAGTGATGAAATCCAATCAAGCACTGAGGTGTAAAATAATGAAATTAAACTGAAGACCCTCCTGTGGAGCAACAGCAGGTTACCAAGGAGTACCATGCACTAGAGGGCAGCCTAGACCTTTTTTTTCCACTGGCTGGCTGGGCCAGCGCCACCACAGCTGCAGTACCACTCTCAATATCACACACCTAACAGAACCCTCCATCTGTCTAAAGAACTTGTAACCACCACCCCGAAAGTATTTGCAAGAGCAGAATTGTAACTTTTATCTCCTATAATCTAAATACTTATTATAAAAGCTTTGTTAATGAACCAGAATAAACAATTTACTCATATTTGTCAGCGTACAAGAACATAAATCAGCAGTTTCAGGCCAACTGGTGAGTAAAACCAAACGACAAAGAAAGCTCATACACAGACAGGTAAATAGAACTATTTTCTTAGATTTATTTGAAAAATACTTACAAAAGCAAGTATGTTTTGACACTAAAATAGTTAAACTTATTCTGTGTTTACACTGGTGTAACTAAGCGTGCAGCACTAACAGTCTTTTCTGTTTCAAGCATTGTTAATTTGCCTTAAGGAAGTGGGAAAAATTCTGGTTTACTGATGAATAATGTCTCCTTGCCACTTCCTCAGCAGCAGCTAGAGCTGTGATCTGACTGAAATCTCACCACACCGAATGAGTCTGCTTTACTAAACCCCAGCCTGCCAAGTGCCAACGTACTGGAACCTGGAAGGTGGGCGAGTCTTTTTCCCCTAGGAAGAAAGAGGAGAGCAGAAGGAGAGGAAAACAAAAGGACTGTGGTTGTTTGTTTTTTTTTTTTAATGTGAAAAATTACGAAAGCTACATTTCATGAAAAAGAGTTCTTAAAAATGTCCTTTTGTTAGTGGCCGTCTTCCATCAAAACACGCACGTACTTCTATACTTACCCGTAAACCAACGCCCCTGAAGCTTACCATGCCTAGAGCACTTGTTTGCTAGGAGAGGCCAGGACTACAACAGTTAAGATTCCCCATCCAGACAGCAGTTCAGTAGTGTCAGAAATGAAATACAGTGCAATTAGTTTCCACATATGGTATAGCTACATTTTAAGACAAAACTGGCACAGATACCAATGGAAGGAGTTTGCTGTCTCCATGGAATCCATGCTCTGGCAAGAGCCATAGGCTGTTCACAGAGCAGTTTATTCGGGCACACGGAGTGGACAGGATCTCACCAGCCATTATTTTGCACGGTGCCAGTAGCTGCAGCTGCTCGAGCCAGCGTATTTCTGTGTGCCTCCGAAGCAGAAGAAAAAGTCCCATCCATCACATGCATTGGCAGCATTCGCCTTCTGCCAGGCTGAGGGGTGTAGCTGTTCTGTCGCCAATCTTCCTCGGGGGGCATGTCAACTCTCCTTGGACCCGGGGCCTTAACGGAAGAAGGGGGCACAGGACAACCTTGAGAGGCACCGGGATCCCAAGAAGGCTCACGTGGTATTCTTAAGGTGCTGTAGTCTGTGCTGGCTGGGAGCCTGCAGCCAACGGCGTAAGATTCACGCATTTGTTGTTGTGGAGGCTGCTGGAGGAAGCCTTCCTGTAAACTCTTGCCTGGCTGGCCAGCATGCTTCCCCCAGAGTGCCATTCGTTTATCTGGTAACATGGCTGTTTGCTTGGCAGGGTAGCTTGTGTTCAGCCAATGACCAGAGACACTCGATGCTCCACCTCCTAAATGCGGACTAACAAGAGGCTTTTGCCCCTGGGAGAGGGTGCCTTTGGGTGCACAAGGGAGACTCCCGTAGCTCAATCCCACACCTGGGTAGCCTTCACCTTGGAAAGCTTCACCCCTGTCAGGCACAACCAAAAGTTTCTGGAGGATGTTCTTCTGATCTCCTGGGGGGGGGGGGGAAAAAAAAAAAAAGGTTTTCTTAGTTGTGCTGCTTCTTTTACCCTTTCAGAACTTTCAGCTGTTGCCAACAGGTGACTAAAGAAAAACAAAATCACTAGTACGTCTGGTTACTGGTTGACATGCAATTCTGACTAGAAGCTAGCTGCAGCCTTTCTAGCATTTGCCTTCCTCACTGCATTTCCTCCTTACCCTACTACAGGTACTGTCACAGATTTCAGATTTCTTTAATAGCCTTTGTGTCATCAAAGAGGAGCTCAACAAAGTATTTCAAGGCTGGTAGATCAAACTAGTTTTGATGGCTGTCAGAGGGAAAATAATTCTCATGCAGGAATTACTTCTATTAGCACAATTACATGTGTGATTTGCTGGTATGAGTAGCTTTTGGAAGTACTCTCATACATGACAACAAGGTGGTGGGCCTTACTACTACTTTTTACTATAGAAAATCTCACTAAAATGTGAATATGATTTGGTGTAAAGTCATCATAATGTTTTCATAAAGATTATTGCCTTTCGCTATGTTCACTTAGCACAGAATCACAGAACAACTCAGAAGGGCAGCGAAGAAAAAGAACATGATACATCCTTCCAGATTTCTGGAAGAATTCAGGCAGATGGTGAAACATTGAGAGACAAGATCTCTAGAGGTGTATTTCAGCAATATTTCTGATCGTGAAGGAGGATGAAAAGTCCTGTGGTTACCTGACGGTTTATGTGCCTTGCCCACCATGCTGGGCATCAGTACATCATGGGGTACGTGCTGCACCTGGCTTGGGTTGTGCTGGGGGTCAAAGGGAAACACAGGAGGATCATGAGGGAAAGGAAGGGAAGTGGAGCTGGAAGAACGGTGGCTGGAATCCACTGGCATTTTCCTCGTATTTGGTGCTTCCTTTTATAAAATTAGAAAGGAGAAGAAAAGAACATAAAATGATGAGTAAACACAGAGCTGGGTTGAATCAAGCACTGGTGGTGTTGATCCAAGGAAAGGGATGAGTCACTGGATCAAAAACATGCATCTGTATGTGATAAAGAAATACAAATAAAAACTGCATCAATCCAGTACTGCAGTGGTGGGCTGCTTAAGAGGACCACTTAACTGGAAATATACCAAGAAGAAAAATCTCAAACACATAGTGCTCAGGGAAGTTTGGCTCACAAACTGAATCCACTGAACGTTGGCAGGTCAGGCAGCATTGGAACTGCCATGCTAAGCAGGCCATGAAATAAAGACGAGTACTGCTGATCCTTCCTTCCTATTTTCTAGCAGGCTTTACTGAAAGGTCTGATTTCAAACTATGAACAGATTTACCTGATGCAGCTGAAGTATTTACCAGTGCTGTACCATTTCCCTCTGTTAGAAGCTACCCACCCCAAAACAGGAGTAGCTGAATGACATGATAACAAACCATCACAACCTTGACCCCAGTGACTAGAAGACTGGTGACAGTCATTGTATCAGCTGCTTCTGCTGTGGGGATAAAAACCTTCCCTAGAGATGAGGGGCTTGGACAGCTAGAGATTTTTAACTGCTTCATGCCAGCACCTCCAGGTATGCATTAAACCCCTCAACTAAAACACACTAAGGAGCAAACATTCAGAAGCTGGCGTGTTCTTAGCCTATGGTACACAGCAGAAAAATTGAATTATGCCAACCAGTGTAAACAACTGATTTTGAAACAGATTCTTCTACACTTACTAGGCAGTCGGCTTCAAATTAAAACTTAAGCACAATTTGCAAAAAAATTCAATTCAAGCCAAGCCATCACATAATATCTGGCTATGTTGCTTAACACCAACAATAATCTGTTACTAGTTTCCTCAGTGGCAGTTTTAACTTGCACTTAAAACTACTTAACAGAGACAAAGGAAAAAATCGGTCTATCTTTAGTTACTTCCTATATATAACTGGCTGCATGTTATGTACCAAGTCTTGAATTGTCTTCCCTTTATGCTTACTTTAAAAATGCTACTTGCTGAATATACACACAGGAGAGTAGAAATTTTCATGTGCTCAGTGGTGTCTTTTTAAAATGATGTGTATTAGAAGCCTTCTTGAAAATACTCTAAGCCAATAGAAAAACAGTATTTATACTGGATGTCTTTGTACACTGACAAGTAATATTAGCTCACATGCCTACCATCTGCACCAGGTACCACTATGCAATGACTCCTGAAGAAGATGGCTTTGTTACTTAAATAAAGCTCTTTTTTCCTTCAAAAAGAACAAAAATTCACAACGATGAGCTTTCATCATGGCTTATTATTCATCTGCCTGCTCTCTTGTTT